CTTTTTTCTTCTCTTGCCCAACCTTTTTCCTCTCATTCCATTCTCCTTAAATCACCTCTCTCTCCTCACATTAACCCTGTCCTCTCCCCCTCTCAGTTGCACTGTATGTGCCAACTTCTTTCTCTAAAGGAATTTGAACTTCATCTGTGTGATGTGCTCATCTGTATGATATGCTCGACTCATTCAGTCCACTGAAAAACACTTTAAACAGAGCTACTCTTTATGAACTTTTCTCTGAGTTTACCTATTCTTTTCACTCAAGCTCTTCTTCAAAAGACCAGAGTTTCTCAAACTGTGAGATACTGCTAACGACCACTTACTTGGAAACTCCCTCCTCTTTACTTTGTTATTCTTCTGAACTGGTGCCATAGTGTCTTCTTTTTCTTCCAGCTTTAAGACTATCTCTTCCAACTTTAAGAAGTAACACTTCTGTTTTTCTCCCACCAATCTGTGCTATATTTCCTGCTTGACCTTTCAGGCAATTCTAGAGTAAAGACATTGGGAGTTGACATGAAGTACTTCTAACTAAGCATTAGCTAGATGGCTGCTAAAGGGATGGTCAAGAAAGGGGAAAACCTGTTTTGCTAAAAGAAAGTAGTACTAAAACATAAGAGAGCGTAGCACAACAAAACAAAGGCTCAGAAGTCCTTCAGCTGCTCTCTACAAACATGACAGGTGTCAGACATCAGGTGATCTGCACCTTTGATATAGCACAATTCAGCATATAATTCACCATATAACACAATTCACTATAATATAATTATGTTTTCATTCTAGGCTGGCTCCTAGAGTGATTTTCACTGGATATGGTCGTAATTACACTGGAAATTAAAATAAGCTTTAGTGTTCTGGAATACTTTCCCAATAGCAGTAGTAAACAACCTACCTCATCTTAAGACATAGTCAGACAAATTCATGAAGAAGGTTGAACAAAGTGCTTGCCTAAAGTAAATGAAAATAGAGGATGGGACTTGATTTATAGCCCATCACCTTCAGTGTCATGTACAATTTCTCAGGAAAATGTTATGAGTGAATGGATTTGTAGTCTGAGAATAGCGAAAGTTATGAGAGAGGATTGCAGGAAATGACACCACTAATATCTAAGTCTTTCTTAAGGATCTGACCAGACAGACCAAAACAGACATACTTATTCACCCCTGGAAACCCTTCCCTGAAATGCCCAGGATGACAAAGAAATCTCCAAGCAGGCCAGAAAGTCGGCCCCTCTTGTTCCGTTCAGAGAAGACCTACAGTGACCCTACTGCAACATCAACAGCCAGCTCCACTGTGCCTGCCACAGCACAACCGTTCCTGTAGCCCAGCGAAGCCACCAGTGCAATCTGCAGCTTGACAAGAAGTGATAGTTAAGGTAACAATGTCAAAAAGGCAGTTAAAAGCCTAATCTACTAACTCCTGGAAGCATCCAGGAAGTTATTCATTGCTATCAAGCCCATGACAGGCCAGCAAGACTGGCCAGTGATGGCTGAGATAGCGTGACAAAGGTTTATTCTAGGACTCCATTTTAAAACAGACTTCCCATAGGTCTTTTTGCTCCAGGAGGCCTTGGCTTGGAGCTCACTAGCATGATCAGACTTCCTTCACATAGCCAGACACCATCCTAAGGTCCATATATTAACACTAGTGCCATCCTGACAGAGCATGTCAGTCTCAGTTCAATGCCTAGGGCAACTTCCTGGTTAGTAACCTCATCAGAGAGACCAAATCACACTGGATACAGCTAGAAGTGTTCACCCCCAATCTAGGAAGGCCCTCTGGCATGGGTTACGTTGGCCTCTTCAGGCAGGGATAGGCATCCCTTCTAGGGAGCTGTCAGTCTAACACTTCACACAAGCACTCACACTAACCATCAAATGAAACCTGAAATGAAAAGACCACAGGAAAATGCTTCTGTACACTGGAGAAGCATCTGGTCTTACCTCTTGAAGAAGGGACATCAAGCAAATAGGTTTACCTCAGGATAGTTGCTGCACAGTGTTTCACCTTCCAAAGCAAGTCCAAAATCAACATTACAACAGGCCAGCCAGAAATCTAAAGACTTCTCAGAAGCTGTGTCTGAGAGTTAGATTTATAATCTCTCTCTCACTTGCATTTTATGCTTCCTGTTCTCTAAGAACACATTTTAAGATTAGGCCAGCCAGAAGTCTAAAGACTTCTCAGAAGCTGTGTCTCTCACTTGCATTTTATGCTGCCTGTTCTCTAAGAACACATTTTAAGATGCTCCCCTTTCATATCTTCAGACCCACAGTAGAGGAAAGTGACAGTTGACACTTTAACACATGCTCCAGAGAAATGCACAAACACATGGACTGTAACAAGGTTGTGACTGGAAAAGTTATGGCCATTTTATTCGGTGCAAAATATGGGAAACTGTCTCCCAAGCTTAAATTGTCATCTGTCTGGCAATAGGCACAGAACCTCACTCAGAAAAGACTTTTCTTGAAAGATCCAGTGATTAGCAGTGGAATTCTGTGTTTGCAAACAAGCTTTTTTAGTGCTTTATTGACAAGTTTGCAATCGGAGAGTAAATGGCAAAAATGTATAGATGCTGGTCATCATTTCCTTTCAAGTTCCCAGTCAGGAACTGCTGAAAAACAGTGTTGGCATTGCTGCAGATTAATGGCTACTGAGAAAGCGTCATAAGGGAATATTTTGCTGCCAGGACAAACATACAGACTGCTGGACAAAAATCTGTGAGCCCCAGATAGGATTATCCCTCTATTGTACAGATCATGCTGCCTGTATTGCTCTGCAATTAATAATATTTACTTTTTGGTCTAACTAAAATCACTCTGACAATCAGGCAAATTGATACTGTACCTTTGCGTTCCTATTTATTCTACGAGTGGTTGAAGTTTTATGTTGAAGCAGTTTTGTAACACTTTAAAGGAGGGTATTTTTTTCAAAATACAGGAAAGAAACACCTTTATTTTTTTTTCCTCTGTGCATTCAATGTACCTTTAAAGACCAGGTATACATTTCTTTTTTTTATACAAGCAGTGAGATCTCCCAAGATCTCCCAAAGGTATATTATTGAGCCGTAAGGCCTTTAAAATCAATTCCCGTCATGAGTTCATTTGTTTCTCACTCTCCTTCATCAAGGTTGTCCTTGACAGCTCTCCTGCCATGTGTATAGGGGTACATTTTCATCATTGCAACTTCTGTATACTTTTTCAATTCTTTTGTTTACTTACCAAACAAGTCCTGGGCCATGGTGACCACAGCAGTTTATAAAAATCCGTTCTTTTCTAATTCAGTAAATGCACATGGTCCAGTCAGGAATTTTGAAGAGAGAAAAAAAGGAAGAGTCTAACTTGGTCCTAGAATCTAAACCACAAGTATGCTACCTGAGGTCATTATACTAAAAAAAAAATAAAACAAAAAATCACATCACTGCATCACTGCTAGGGCATGTCTTCATAGTTTAATAGCACTTTCATCTTTCAAAATTAGGAGCTGAGAGATCATGCCCCAATGTAAGGACTCCTAATGGATACTGACAGCACCATACCATGTGCCTGTGGTTGCTGCATTGTTAGATTATGGGATTAGTAAACCAAGCATATGAAGTGTACATTACCAATTAATCCTAATGAGCCCCAAGTTAGTAATGACTAGATTACTGCCCTTATCTGAGCTCGCTGTTCAGAGCATGTGGAGTAGCTTCACGCTACTTTGCATTTAGTAGCACAGACCTAAGATCAGTCTGCTCACGGCTGTTGGTAAACAGCCATGATATTTTATTGCATTTTTTTCTTCAAAAAATATTGCTTGGTCCTACAGGTACAACTTCTCAACACAAAATATTCTCACATGTGCCTATACAATATTTGCTTTGCTGGTACTGAAGCAGTTTCAAAATAAAACCACAGTCTGATTAGGCAATCCAACAAAACACTAGCCAGCCACCAGAGATGACCCCACATATCTCAGAATGAAAAGCCATGAAATGACACAGTGTATGAGGTCACTGTGACAGCCAGGAGGTAATACCAGAGTATTTACTTTGGCTGGAGTCTTCCTTGGCTCATCCTCATTTGCAGTGTCACAGCCAGACCTGCATCTCAAGCCAAAGAGCTTTAGCTTGCCTACTTCCATTAATGGATCAACACAGGCACCAGCAAACAATTCAAATGTTTAGCTTTTTTTTTTTTTTTTGAGATGACATAAAAATCCTATGGATTAAATGAATCATGATTCATTTCCCTTTCTAGAAGTAGGAAACAGAAGAACAGATGCACTTTGTAGCAATGATTGCATTTGTCCTAACAATCCTGTGGCCTAAGTAAGCCTTAGTAGGGTCTAAAGTAGGGTAAGCTTTAGTGGGGTCCTCTTGAGGACCTGTACATACCAAAACCCATAAAAGCAGTGTTAAGGAGAATGCAAGTTTTATCTTGGTGAAGATCTTCAGCCCATACTACAGTGCAGATGACAGCCATCTCCATCTTCTACAGAAGTTTTACAGCAAGTCCTTAATGGTTGTAAAAGTGAAAGAACACTACTCCAAGAAGGAAAAGTAACAGGGCCTCACCCCACAAGGCATGGGCTGGGAGCACTGGAGAGACTGCATGAGCCCTGAGCAACATCTGAATATGCAGAGGGTTGCAGACTGTCCTATGTTCTTTTTCAGTATTAATGACTTCTAGGTTACTCCCTTTGATATTTGTATTAAAGACAGTAATTACAGCCACTGTATTTACTTGTCTTTTTTTCCAGATGTGTTTGCCTGTGGTTGCTTTCTGCCTCTGTTTAAATGTTTAGGACTCTGTGTTTGTCAGTTCTGTACAGTTCCGCTTTCTTTGTTAGCTGCAGACAGAGAGGCTAAATAAAGTGATACTTAGCATTATGACTGCCCTGTTAAATACTAACTAGTGCTGTTCTCTCCTCGTAGTTCTTTCCCTTATATTTGCATGTCATGATTGAGACTTCCTATTTCTGACGGACCAAAAAATAAAAAGATACAGAAAAGATGTCTGATTTACCTGCAATTCTCCTTCCATTATGCTGAGGAGTTTTATTAAGTCCTCTTTAGAAAGCTCTATGGACTTCTTGTTCTTTCGTTCACTAGGTCCAGGTGATTTTGAGTGCCGCTTGACAGTTGCAGATACCATGACCTCATCTTCCTTCCGATGAGGTTTGTTCTTTTTCTTGGCATCCTCCTGAAGTTTTTCGTTCTCTGCATGGCTGATGACAGGCTTGGAACTGGAGAAGTGCCCGTTAGACGAGCTTTCTCCGCCTTGGTTTCGGGATCTCATCCCTGTCTAGAAAGAAAAACATAAAGATGACTTTTATATTAAAAAAAATACTGACAAAAACTACATCAAGAATACTATGTTTTGGAAGAACAGCAGTCTTCTAAACACTGAAAAATAGTGTCAAGCTCAAGGGAAGAGGATGGAAAGCTCAACTATTACAGCAATTCTGTGTGTGTGGCAGGCACCAAATCCAGAGCATTAATTATAAATTTCACAGAGTCCTGAAGCAGGGTAAGCAGATTTTGTCAACATGCCAAGATGCTGATAAGAGTTACAATGTAGGGAACTAAAAGGATGCAGGGAAATGGCAAAGAACATTCTCCAGGTTCTCCTTTCCATCAGTCATCATTTTAATTGTTCACAATTCATCACTACAGAAAGAAACAATTTGGTAAGCAGACCTTCAACATGAGAATTGCTGAGAGATAGGAATGCATTTAGTTTTTATAAAAATGTATTCTTTTGAGTACAAGCTCTCTGTAGGAGTGAAGTGATAATGCATGCCATGCAAAGAGCATGATAGTTTTCCTGAGTGAAGCATTGGTTTTATTCCAGGTAAGGAAGAAAACTTGGGAATGCAGAACAAAGCAGGTAGGAAACCCCATCTTGAGCTAATCACTGCATGATATCATTTGATTGCAAGCACCATAAAGGAAAGTTGAAAACGAATGTCATGCCTGCTCAAGAGGACATGAGAGGAGTAGCAGGTAAACAGGAAGGATTCACACAACCCTTCAGGACATCTTCAAAATTTCACTCTGTAATATAGGCTTGGTTTCACACAAAACACAACTGCTAAAATCATTCTGTCTGTATATCATCCTCCCCAAATCTCTGTCTTACCCAATTCCCTCTACAGAGGTGGATATCCATCAGCATTCCCAAATTAAACCTACCATAGCTTAACCTGTCTTCTCCTGTAAATGTCTCTCTCCTTTCTTCCCTCCAGACTTGGTTAGGAGGGTTCCTGTCTCTTCAAACCCTATTTACCACATAAGCCCTGTGTCCACAACTAACAACAGCACAGAAGACAGGATGGATTAATCACTGTGCATTTCATTACTTACCATTATTAAAAAGATAAACATACTCAGACATGTTTGTATATGAACCAATATTTCTATCCCATCATGCTTCCTACATTATGCTGAAGTAGGTCTTTGTAATTATTTTCAGTGTTTGACATTGTAAGACCTTAATTGTTATTTGGAATCAGGATACTTTTGTCACACATGACAAAAAGGCAAAAGTGAAGTTAGGCTTGGTTCAAGGCCACATTCAGCAGCAAGTAAGACTGTGCAAATTTAAATCAAGTTGTTCTTCTAAAAATCAGATATTCTTCAATGTACTTGAAAAATTTATATAACTGCTAAGGGAAAACACCAGGAGTTTACATTGCCTTACTCCTTTGCTTTTGTATATAATCATGTCTTCTGGTCCCTCAATTTTTTAACTTAAAATCAATGTAAGAATACTGGAGAAGCAAGATTTGCAGAGAGACATAATGTTTTAGATCAACTACAATTTAAGCAAACAGACTGAAGAAACCTGAAGAAAGGTCTGTACATCTGAAAGTCATCAATTTTTTTTTTCCCCAGCAATAGCAATAGACATAATGAATAATATTCCTCCTCTTCCAAGTCTCTCCTCTCACTTAAATTCATCTCTAGATTTAGTTTTCAGCTTGTTCATTAGTCAAACAGATGCTTTTCAATATTGCCAGCTTCACACATTTTACTGATAAGGATCTCAAAGCAGCAGGGCTCTAGTGATGGGGTAAACCCTAAAATACTAATCGTCTTGGCTAGTGTTGCGCTGGGTCTGCTAGGGCTTGCTACTGACTTGACTCAAGGCAGCATTATAAATCTCCTGTTCAGATTGGCCTTACGTTTGGGTAGTTTCGGGCTCAGCAGGAAGAGTCTGTTTTTATTATCATTGGTTATTCATGTCTTAACTTCATTAATTTGGTGGAATTCATCCAGCAGCATAAATAAGAAGAGAATTAGGCCCAGTGCTTTCAAGTAAGAGAGTCTCGTGGTGAGATTCCTTGCCTTGTAAGCCTGCTCCTAGCCAAACAATATGTGAGACAGGTATACAAAGGCCCCTAACTTCCTAAATGCTTATGCAGTATGTTTTTCATCAAATAGTTTGGATTAATCACATGAATTATGCTTTCTAAAAACGGATCTCCATTATAACCATGAACAATACCTGCAAAGCTCAGGAAATCTTTTGGGTCTCAGGTTTGTAATGGAAAAATAAACATTGTACTATGTTTCCTCTCAGATAGGGCTTTTCAATTTGTTTAACTTTAGTGGGGTTTAAACTTTCCAGTCATGCTTCCTCTCAGGAGAGAGCACTTGGGATTCAATCTGTCTCTATTTTCTGACTATTTCCTTCTGAGTCCCTGTGGACCACAGCCTCCAGCCACATTCATCTCTGAATCAAATCTACTTTTCACAGCTAACAGTGAATGGCTTCATGGTTCTAGAACATCCTACATATTTTAAGAATAAATATTGCAAGTCTGTATTACATATGTTTTCCAGTGGAAAACAGATTATTACATTAAAGTGGATCCTTCTTAGTAACTCGTTGCATTAGTGATCTCTCTGTAGCAAGATGAGACAACTATTAGAACTGAGGGTGAACAATTAACTTTAAATTTAGCATATGACTAACTGAGACACATAATCCACTTCAAGTATGGCACAATCAAGCAGATGCACTTAGCTGGATATGTTAGGCTTTATGAAAGACTGTATGCTACCCTGTCACAACTCAAGGCAGATACTTTGATCCACCTTTTCTCTGGGAGTTGTGATAACAGCTCCTGTAGCATGAAAACTAAGTAATTGGCTATAGGTTTGAAACCTAACAGAGAAATGATGAATTAATATTTAAAGCAGAAAACCAAACTAAACTAAAACTTCTGGTCAGATATTCGCTTGGTGTAAATCAGGCAGCAAATTTATGCTTTAAGCCATTAATGCAGTAGCAGAATAGCTTAACCAATCAACCTGGATTTTTCGTACCTACTAGCTAATTAGAATACGATAGTCACTAAAGGAAGCCTGCAGTCAAACTTTCACTCTTTTTAGCACTTACAGATTTTTTTTGCACCAAGTCTTACATCAAGTAAGTGTGGTGTTCAGTTACTCTCACAGACATTGCCCCTAACAGCCTTTCTTTGTTTAAGAGTTTGCCAAAATGAGCATAACGTTAACACCTACTCTGTCTTCAGTTATGATGTTGATACTTTCCCAGTGTGTTTCCAAGTGTAAAGGTGTTGTGCACGGAAGCCAGAGGTGCAGGTGAACTCAAGCTTAAATGATGACAGAGGGCCAAGTTCTGCTACTCACACAGAACTTTGCAAAGAGTTTAAGGGCCAAAATCAGCAGCACGATCCAGTATGCAGTATGTCAGGAATGCAAACCAGCTGTTAGACTGATAAAGTTTGGTAAAGCATCTTTTTTAAATTAGAGCAGTGTGAAGTAGCCAGAACATACTGGTTATCTTGCTTGAAACACTGTGGTTTGGAAATGAGTGCTTAACATTATCATTCTGGTCATCAGCCTGTATTTCTGATAACATCATGAGATACAAGAAAGGTTCCTGAGTAGTTGCATGACCTTATTTTGACATGCAAATGCTAAAAATCTTGCCTATCTCTTGCTGAATGAAGTTTCCAAATTGATTTTTGAAACACTGCCAGTCTAACACTGGTAACAAATGTCCTCCTACTGTCTTGTCGTGAGCACGTCTCTATATCATACAGCCCACAGCGTTGGTAGTTGGCATGATACTTGGTGAACTCTTCAGGCTCTCCTCTCTTTCATTTGCCTGTGAAGCATAAAAGACAACTGCTATGGTTATTTATTTGAGTTTGTATTGTTGCTGTGGGCATGGAGCCTTCAGTTTTCACAAGTTTGCAATTCACTCAAGATTTTATGAAATAACCTTTATGTTACTTTTACTGACATCACCAGAAAATCTGGGAGGAATTTGCTGAGTAGGATGTCAGGAGAGGACAGTCTGTGTGCTGTTCCAAACCCTTCCCCCATCTATGGCAATTTCTTCTCCCTATAGTGCTGAAATGACAGGTTAGATGAGACTCTGATGTTATCTGTCTTTAGAATCAAATAATATAAAAGATTTCTTTGAACTTAAAATACAGTCCCTCATGCTAATTGGATGTGCTGATTTTGGCTACGTAGCTCTTTCAATTAAAGTAATAAAAATACAAATAATGTTATAAAACAATAACAAAAAGGTTGATTTACAATCATGATATAGTTGTTGCTTTTGGCTACAAAGTTGTAGCCTGGAGTTCAATTGTCGATCTAACTGATTAAGAAATTATATCGGTTTCTGACGGACTAACATTATGTTATAGGACTGGTGCAAAAAAAAGTTTATTGTTGAGCCGAAAGTGGAATTCTTCCCGCTGAGACTTTGCGAACTGTATGGTAGGGAACTCTATCTTTTGGAGGCTTTGGAGTAGGGCACTGTGTTGTGCCAAAGTGCCTGTTACACAACGGAGATCGCTGAGGACTCATTGCTGACTGAGCCAGATCTCTGTTCAGTTGTCACTGGTCAGCACATAGCTCCAGGAATAAAAAATAAGCTAAAATATGCTCCAAGTAGAGGAAAGAAAGCAAACAAAGTCACAAACAGGTTTGAAACACCCTATAAATGGGAAGAAGAGCTGTAAAATACTTAAACAAGTTGGCCTGTATCTTCAAGTACAACAACAACAGATGGAGATACCTTCTGGGACTTACAGAAGATAGGAAAATAGGGACATCAAATTGACCCTGTTGTCCTAGAAGGTGTCAGCAAGGACCACCCCAGCTGGGGATGGATAATTTCATCCCAGAGGAATCCAAAAGCCAGAACCAAAGCTATGTAGCCTTACTGATAGGAACATGATAGGAGAAATATTCAGAGCTGCAACAGCTCACACCACCTCAGAGACTAATTAAAATTATTAGCGTGGGGGTTAT